GGTCCCAGTACTGACCCCTGCAGAATGCCCTGCGGAATTATGCTGCAGAAATTTTTAGTAATATTTGTAATCCTCTGTATCTGGGTTTCTCTGTGGATCAAAGACTGCAGTTCTGAAAGACATTTCCCCCTCCCAAACTTATTTTTATTGATACTTTATCTCTTTTTAAATTTGGGCTGTTATCTTTGCGTAGGTGCACAACAGTGATACAGTATTCTGGATTCTCCACAGCGTATCCAAGTGCATCCAACATATCTGGTTTAGGTGGATCCTTCTTAATTGATTCACATTAATTTCTTTTAATTATATAATTGATGTGTCCTTAATTTCTGCAAAAGAACAAGGTCTGATTATCTTCTCACCCAGTTTAACATGAACTGGACATATGCCTTGTAAGTTTTTAGACTGCTTTACTTTCATAATGTTAAAGGAATTGCATTCCGCTATGTACAAAAAGCCACAAGGGGAAAATCTAAGTAATTACCACGTCTAATTATACACATTTTTGTCTCAGTATTGAAGTTTCTTAGAAGAATTTTGTGATATTACCCCAAACGTGAATTTGGTACCTCTGAAATTCAGCATTTATTTAAATAGGAAAAAAAAAAGTAGCATTGAAATTGAACTGAAAAGAGCAAGACAGTGTATGGCCAGTAGCTGTTAATAAGTGCTAATGTTTGCAGATTTAGGGGTTATTAACTTCTTTCTTTCAGTCCACTCCAGAGCAGTTAATGCTAATTGTCGTAAATACCTTATTGTGAAGATCTCTCTGTAATTGAGAGGTGCCTTGGTAAATAGTTTGTGGTATCATTTGTCCATCTCCGAAGTGTTTCATGGTTCCAGTAACAAGACAGAGTGCAGCTTTACATTAGCTGCTGTGGACACTGACGGGAGCTTTAATCAAAACTGCAGTCATCTTGCAACTTCTTTATGAGAAGACCAATTTGAGAGAATCTTGGTGACATCTTTAAATCTCAAATAAGAGAGAATATAATATTTCTCATTTTCTATCTACAGGAAAATTATTCCTGCAGAGCTTGAAGCTTTTCAGGTTGGGAAGTTCTGAGCCATTTAATTTTGACTCTGTAGAATTTAGTGTACAAGTGGCAGAGAGATGCTTCTGTTTCATGTCCTGTCCATGGGAAATAGGCTAATCAAATGTTTTCCAATTAGGACAATCAGCTCATCAAGGGAAACAAGCCAGTATTGGCCTTGCATCCAGTTCCTCCTAAGGCATTTTGCATCAGAGAAGATTAGTTCTGTGGCATCATCTTCAGGTTGAGGATTCAGCAGGGAGTTGTAAGTACACGGGGCAGGGATGAAGCAGAAGAGGGGAAAGAAAAGGACCGGAACAGCAGTGATTAATTATTGCTGCTCACAGGAGTAGAGAGGCATATTTTCAGAGGTCAATCTTTACCTCAAGTACATGATGCCTTCTTTTGTCAGATACCTCTGGCAGTAGAAAGCTGACCTAGAGAAAAATTAGCCAGAGAGGCTGGAATCTCCTGTTGTGCTCTGTCTTCAGAAGCCGGCGCTGCTATCTGGGAACAAAGTGCAGTCGTAACTATGTGGGGAGAGGTGCTAATTCAGCACTGTCCCTCTTAGTGGGGATCCACTTTCACTTAGTGTTTTTTCTTTCAGAACATGAGTCACCTGGAAGGACAGTGAGCATCCGCCGTGCTTTCTTCTCTTGCAGTCCGAAGGGTCAAATTTATATAGAGAGGGATGAATTGCTCTTTTGGGTCAATTCAGCCCAAACTAAGCTGTCATGGCAACAATACAAAACTTAACCAGTTTAAGCCACAGGACAGCTACTAATATAACTTAGCTTCAATGCATTATTTATAATATTTTAATTTAAGGTGGTTTAAAACTGCTTGGTTATGTGCTTAGTTTTCAAATTCAGAAGAGGTAATCAATTCTGTGTTCTCTTTCAACAGCATAAAATGTTTTCAGTGTTACCTAATGCTTGTGGTTCCTCTGTCCTGAGATGCAGTACTTTTCATGCACTCTCGTAAGCAAGAGGCTAAACTGGGCTTGGAACTCTTGCTCTAAATTTGGTGTGCTGTTTTCGGTAGGCTGTGGACAAATCAATGCAATAGGCAACAACAAATACAAAATAGCTTAATGTACCACCATTAGGGATGCCTTCAGAAATAATAATTATAAAATTTAGCTGCTGATGGAGGATAATAAGAGTTGTGTTAAACAATAGAGGTTGTTTACATCTGTCATATATCAAAGCAAAATTATTTAGGGTCAAATACTGATAAATTTGTCCTTCAGGTTCCTGCTAGCACAGCAAAAGTGTATAAGTTACTGTCTTTTTTTCTGATTATTTTTGTGGCATACGCAAAACTAATTTGACATTTGTCTCCTTCTCTGGAGACATTCAAAGCCCGCCTGGATGCGTTCCTGTGTGATCTGGTCTAGGTGTTCCTGCTCCAGCAGGGGGATTGGACTAGATGATCTTTCGAGGTCCCTTCCAATCTCTAACATTCTGGGATTCTGTGTGTGATTCTGTGACGTTAATCCCCATTTCCAGGTAGGTGTTCGCACTGAGTATGCCTTCTGCACCATTTCCCAAATGCTTATTTTGTTAGTCTTTCTGAACTTACAAAATGATGTAAAAATGGAAGAGGCAGTTATTCCACTAGTGGGTAATTCTGCTTGGAGTTAAAAAAGCCGGGGAGGGGGAATAAAAGCGGCACTGGGAAAGAATAATCCCAGAGCCAGTTTGCGATCTGTTTTTCTGACAGTAACTTAGAACAGTTTAAATGACTGCTATTTTAAAAAGTTTCAATTGGGTGTCCTTTATGGTTTGAAATATCTAGGGAGATCATTACCTAATGATATGGGGCAACATAAAAATAAAATTTCTTGTTTTACCTGGTTTAGATTTATAATTGAGATGATTTATAAAACTGACTCTTAACCTGACCTGAAAGTTAATTAGATTACCATGGGTATTATGTCCTATTCTCAGGCTGTGCAAATACCCAGGTTAAAAAACCACAAAGCCAGTAATCCCGTAATTCTTTACACTGAATTCCTTAAATAATTAGTAATGTAAGAACTTTTAAAAGCTGTTACTTGTCTTTTGATTCTGCTTTTTCAGTCCATGGCAACTGTTTTCTAGCCGCTCTCACTTCGCCTTGTAATGTATCCCAGAAATGTTGGTTGGAAAGGGCCTCTGGAAGTCATCTAGTCCAACCTCCCTTTAGAAACAGGATGGTTGCCAAAGCAAGATCAGCCATGGCTTTGTCTAGTTGAGTCTTGAAAACCTCCAAAGATGGAGATTTCACAATCTGATTTACTGCAGTAGTTTGCAAGGTAACGTAAAACAAAATCTGTGAAATATCTTCAGAGTTTGGCTCTAAATATTTCTGAATCAGATTTTGGCAGCCGTTGCCTGTCCAAGAAGCTTCATTGCCACTTCTGTATGAAAGATAATTGCAGTGTACTGTAAAGGTGGGTTCACAGCACCTTATTTTAGTTACATGTGAATTAGGTACCTAGTTTGTTAACCAAGGAGCCTCCCTCTATAATCAGTGTAAAGAGGTCCCTCCAAAAGACTATTTCTCCCTCTCAGAGCTGTTTGGGATGAGTCGTTCTCGGGAAGCATCTCTTCCCTCTCCTCCCCCAGTATTTACAGGGAGGGGTCCCCTTTCCATTTGGTGCCTGACTTCCTTACATGGCTTTGGACAGATGAGGAATTCCTTCCCCACTGGACCAAAGTAGCATGGGGACTACACTCACAGTATTGTTCGAATGGGAAATAATCTTAGTTAGCCAATACTGCAGAAAAAACCCACATGAGGCACAACATCGACTGACAACCACAGCTATCAATGCCTTCTCAAGTGCTTCCCTCATGCTCTTCCTCCATTTTCTGGTTTGGGTTTTTTTGTTTATTTGGCTGTAATGATTTAATCTTGGTCATCCTACTACCCTGTTTTTTGGTTGCAAGGGGGTAACGAATTACTTTGTATTTATTTGAATTCTCATCTTCTCCCAGGGTTATCATGACTTGGAAGAGGGTAACTCAAATATGGGGGTTATTTGTTTGGATTTTTTTTTTTTTTTAAGTATTTGGATGTGAGTTATGAATACTCTTGGGGGAGGAAGGAGCATTGTGATGTGGCCGATAGAGAAAAGATTTTGCAAGCAGCAGTTTATTGCTTAGGATGCCTGTGGGGACTGCATGTTTATGCAAACTAGTGCCCCAGAGGGGAAACATCCTGTCATTCCTTTAGCATAACATGCACAGCAGATAGAGTGAGGCATGGCCAGCACTTAGAGCAGAAAACTTCCTTAACTACAACTTACAAAGCATCTTTTTTTTCATTCCCACTCTTCTTATTCTCCCAGCAAAGAGGTGGTAGAGTATATTTCTTCCTGATGGAACAACATAGAAAAGGATATATTTTGCACTTCTTATTACCTTTGATCTTTTGTTGGTTCTTCATGTCCACTTAAATTGCATATATCAAGATAAAAAAGAATTTGACCTTTCTGAACTGACTCCGTGTTGTTGCATGGAGACTACCTGAGAACAGGTGTTTTTCTATTTGCAGTCTGTAAACTGGCTCTGTGTGTGTGTGTTATTAGGTATGTTGGGAGATTTTGTTATATGTTTATCTTCCTTAAGACTTAAAGTCTGATGAATTAGTGATGATGGCATTAAAAGTGACTATTAGTACAAGTTTTCCTAAACCTCAAATTAACTAATGTGTTTTAAACTTTACCAAATAAAATACTTTTCCGAACAGTTGTGCTGAAGTGTGTATAGCCTTTTCTGGTGGCTGCAATGTTTGTACTTGCTGGGCCTGAACTATCTGCTATCATACGTGTCTTGGGAACAGTGTGTGGAGAGTCTCTGTTGTGCATTGCAGGACCCTGCGGGTGCTGTGCCTGTCAGGCATAGGAGGGCGTGGTGCTGGTGCATGTGCTTCGGGCTGGCCTTTATGCTGGCTGGTGTGATCCTGGGTGGTGCCTATCTGTACAAATATTTTGCATTCCAGGTAAGTCAAATATTTTTATTTTTTTTTTAGGGAAGGGTTGCATTTTTATCCTTTAGGCTTTATGTTTGGAAGAGGGAAGAAGAAGAACAGACTTAAACCAAATAGCCTTGCTGCTCCTATTTTTATCCTTCTAACACTTCAGCTTTTCTAAAGGCAAAGTGGATGGCCTGCTCTGAAGTTACCTATCGGTAGAGGAGGGCAGGAGCAAAGCTGGCAAATCAAAAGGAGCAACACTTTTGAAAGCATTACTTTGCAGAGAAAGGATTATATCTAAATAGGACTTGGGTTTAGGAACTCCAGTGGTGCCCCAGATTTTCACCTGCTCTCTCTCCTGTTCTGCAGTGCTGAATACTGAAGGTAGATTAACCCCTTGAAAGCCTCCTTGTTTGACCCCAGATTTCTTAGAGGCATGGGGTAGTGGTGACGCACAGGAAAGGAACTGTTTGCTGAAGCAGTGCAGTTACTCTCCTTCCTAGCCTCCATAGAGATAAGAAAAACAGGCCCTCCAGGGGACTTGAGACAAGCACAGTCAGTGTGGTTAAACACGCTCTATCAAGTCTAATCCACACCGACAAGATTAGAACTCTGTCAAAATGTATTTTCAGTCTTTAAAAAATGGCATCACTGCAAGAGGAGCCCTGTGAAGGCAGTGGTGCCAGGGAAGTGGGACATGGACGTGAAACATGGGAGATCCAAGTTAAATGTTGTCTTCCTTGGGGGTAATGATCACTGGGCAGCAGTGGATGTCCTGGGCTGTTGCCCAAGTGGTGCAAGCACACCTCCCTTCTTCAGAAACTGCCAGGATTGCAGGATTCACAGGGTCAGAAAGGGAGGGTGTAAGCAAAACATGAATCCCTCTAGTCCACTGGTTACTGTACATAATTATAAGGCAGAAATTCAGTGTTCTTGTCTCTGCTACCAGGATTTGTTTTTTTTAACCATTTTAATAGCTGCTGATGTAGAAGGCAAAGTGATTGAACATGAGAAATTCTAGCTGAACTCGCAGTTTATAGTCTCTTTGGCTATCATGTTAATTTACAAGGGAGCAGTAGTGTTGCAAACGATGCTTAAACCGCATAGTGTATCTTGGTGGATTAACAAGCTCAGAGTAGCTGAATTTTCCTAATGCATGTTTCATCTGTGCTTAGCACCGCAGTGGTCCACTTTTCCCATGCCAGCTAGCTGAAATTGAAAGTGCCGTTTAATTCAAACCCGTAGTACTTGCTTATGAATCAGATCTGGGTTGAAGGAAACATTCAGAAGTTGAGCTGACATTGCACTGAAGACATGTTTTCAGTGTAAAGCTTTAAATTAATAGCATGTGCATATGCATAAGTTGTATGTTTCTAAAGCTGTCTGGCCTACAAATTTGGTGTATGACTTCCTCTGACTCAGGACTTTATTTTACACTTCACTTAGATAACCTGCCGTGTGTACCGTGACAGAATGACGCAAATTGGTTATTTTAATTTATTTTCATTACCTTTTTGTCTTGCAAAACTGTTCAAAACAGTCTTAGAAAGTGCTTTTCAAAACTTCTGAAGCCTTGCAAAACTAAGCAACTTCACAGAATAATTGAGGTTGGAAGGAAACTCTTGAAGTAATCTGGTCCAACCTCCTGCTGCAAACAGGACCAGATTCAGAGTTAGACTTGCTTTTTAAAGGTGATTTGGATGACCATTTCAATATCTTAAATTGTAATTATTGACTGCAGTTAAATTGTAATTTAATAATAATAATATGCATGCATATAGATGCAGGAACTTCATTATCTTTCTAAAAATAAGATGCAATGTGCCACAGATAATGGATGCAAAATAGAAGACTAGATTTTAAGAACCTGCTTTTGGGATCCTGTTTACCTTGAATTCAAGGGAAGGACTCCCTCTGGGTTCAGTACAATCAAGGTTTTACCCATGGTCCTGTTGTAGATAGCAACTGGCTCTTACTTTGGTGTATGAATCAAATTAAGGGGAAAACATTTCATCTAGTCTGACTAGTTTTTCTTCTCCACGATGCTTTGAGAATATTAGTTTTAAACTTCTAACAAGGCTAGTGACGTTTTTGTTGCTGGGTTGTTTACTATTTTTAGCAGGGTGGTGTGTATTTCTGTGGAATAAAGTACATTGAAGATGGCTTAAGTGTACCTGAGCCTGGGGCAGAGGCTCAGAGTGCTCGCTACCACACGATTGAGCAAAATATTCAGATCCTGGAGGAGGAAGATGTTGAGTTTATCAGTGTGCCAGTTCCTGAGTTTGCTGATAGTGATCCTGCTGATATCGTCCATGACTTCCACCGGGTAAGAAATATTTCTGTAGAAGTCAAAAGCTTTTAAAACTTGAAAAATGTTCTCCCTCAGTCATCCTGATAAATGTGCGTCCTAATTATTGTGGTGGAGGAAAGTGGAGGGTGGAGGAGGCAGCAGAAATGTTTTGATCAGCAGCAGGCTGCAAGCAATTATTAATTGGGGATACAAAGTACAGTGTTACACAATCATTTGTAAACCACCATTTGCAAATATGGTTCTTTTTTTAAAAAGGGAAAAATCTTAGAGATATTTCCTTTCCTTAGTATGAGGAAATAAGGAGAATATAGTTCTTGCTGTGCTAAGTCCACCAAGCAGAATTTGACCAAATTCAGTGGTGCCGATGGAGGTTTAGAAAGGGCTGTCATAGCTTTCACCTCAGCTTGCAGGGGCAGATTGTGTCTGACCTCACTAGGTTCAAGCACCCGCAGAGGTTGCTCTCTTAGTGTAGCTCAGAAACCCCAAAGCAGCAGCAGAAGGGGAAGGAAGCGACCAGCTGACTGACAGCGGAAGAGAGCTCGTTTTCCAGATGCGGTAGGAAGCCTAGCAGAAGTTAAATATTCCTTGTGCACCACAGGTGACTCTGATTCCTAAGCACACTGAACCAGGGTTTGGAAGCACTTTTATCTGTTTCTTCCTTTTTTATAGAAACAACTTTGGTTGATCGGAATTGTGGTAATAAATTTTTGGTAAGGCAGTTGACAGGCCTACAGCTCTTGGTATTAACAACAGCTGTAGGACAATTAGAAGCCCTTCTTTTCTGTATCAGCCTGATGGAAGCTGTCTGATAGCAATGAAATGTTCTACAGCTGGTTTTCAGGAAGCTAAATTTCTGTGAACATTTGAATACTTTGCTGAACAGCTTTTTTAAGCAAGGCTGAAAAAGAAGAATAGGGAAGCATCCTAATTTTTATGCAAACTTCAGAGTTTAAAGTTTTCCTGGCAAAATGAGTGCTATCTATCAAATATTCATAACCAGATTAGAGGAAAACATTGCTTGAGCTATGTAATTTAAAAATATTCCTGAATATATTTATATATTTATTCAGGAATATATTATAGCTGCTGACAGTACAAGCAAAGCCTCTGAAGAAGGCAAAGCAGAAAAAAAAAAGCAGTATGTAAGAAGTGAATAGGAACAATATAAATTACTTTTTGATTAAATGGGTTAAAGGCTTTGCTCTAAAGGTCAGTGCAAGGATCATTTGCTATAGGCACAGCATTTACTCCCATGTAATGAGATCAGTTGTGCTGATGATTGCTGCCCTGATACTATTCTGACTGTTGGGCTCTTGGTGCTCGGTATCTTATATATGTCCGCAGCCTTAGAGCTTTCAGATGCTTGAGATAATGTCTTCTTTAGCAAGAATAGATGCAGTAAAACACAGCTCAGTGAACACAGCCATAGGATTAATCTGGATAATTCCCTGGGCTTTTATATCTCTTGTTTTTATCAAATAATGGCAAATCTTGCGGTTCCGATACTAAAAAGATGCTAATTCCATTATGAATAACCATTAATACTTCAAGTCAGCAGTAATTTTGAAAATAAAAGGATTTTTGTTGCTTTATCTGTAACTAATTTTTTCCTTCTGTATTTTGTTCTTACAAGCAGCATTTCACTACTAAAAATAGAAAAGTGTGGAGATTAGAGCAAGGTTTGTGTCCTGTTGTTTAAAAATGCAGGCACTAGGAATAAATAAATACTGTACTTGATTCCGTAACAGCTCAGATACACATTTGAAATTTCAGCACTGTTTTGCATTTGAGCTACTTGTCACCTCCTGCCTTGCACAAATCCCTGTCATAAACTCTCATCAAGACTGTCTTTTATTTCTGCATTTACCTGCCCTCAAATTGGAGTTTATGGGACAGGCTTCATAGTGAACAAAACAATAATTTGAAGAACAACATGAGTCAGTAGCAGTTTAGCAAAGTCTGTATGTGAATTTCCTGATGTTCTCATTATTTTGATTGAAATAAATATTTCCTCAACAGAGACTCACTGCCTATCTTGACCTTAGCCTGGATAAGTGCTATGTGATTCCTCTGAACACTTCAGTTGTTATGCCACCAAAAAATTTCCTGGAACTGCTCATCAACATCAAGGTATGGTTAAATCATAACTAATTTGTTCTTAACACAGGGAAAAAGGAGAATTTATTTCCCCTTTTTTTTTTTTTTTTTTCTGCCAGAACTCTTGACATTCACAGAAGGTGCATGTGTTAGAAAGTTAACTGATCACTAGAGATCTTGCAGAGAGAGGAAAAAATCTAAAACCTTTCTTAGTTAATTAACTACAATCCTGAAGGAATTATTAATTCAGAGGAAGACAAACTTCATTTCATTCTTCGATACTACAAATTTGATAGACAAAATTGTGTAGATGTGGTGTACCTAAACTCTTCGATAGTAAACTGTGTGTTTTTTAATTTATAATCCATTGTGGCTAAAGTTTCTGTAAGGCATATATGTGCTGGACTAAGACTGGTTAGATGAGAGGGACCTGTTGGAGAGAGTCCAGAGGAGAGCCACGACATTGGTCGGAGGGAAGGACCAA